CTGTGGGATCCTCCCGGACCGGGGCACGAACCTGTGTCCCCTGCATCAGCAGGCGGACTCCCAACCACTGCGCCACCAGGGAAGCCCCCAAGACCCAGTTTTTTGTAATTTACTCAAAGGAAGGCTCTTGTAAAGGCTACATATACATACATCCTTCTAATAAGAACACAAACAGTAGCATTCTACCAGTAGAAGCATTTTCTTATGTTCTATGACTTGTTTTTTTTTTTGTTTTTTTTGTTTGTTTGTTTGTTTGTTTTTTGCGGTACGCGGGCCTCTCACTGTTGTGGCCTCTCCCGTTGCGGAGCACAGGCTCCGGACACGCAGGCTCAGCGGCCATGGCTCACGGGCCCAGCCGCTCTGCGGCACGTCGGATCTTCCCGAACCGGGGCACGAACCTGTGTCCCCTGCATCGGCAGGCAGACTCTCAACCACTGCGCCACCAGGGAAGCCCTATGACTTGGTTTTATACATAAGAGCCTTAACGGTGTGATCTGGGAAGTAAGATGAATCCTTTGCTTCTTATGTGTGTAATACAGATACCTAATTTGAATGCATAAAGATGAATTTAGTACGTTGTGGCCACGTGGGCTCCGAGTCAGGCTGTGTGTGGACTGCTCGTCCCGCGGTGGCCTGTGGGGGGCTGAGTTCTTCCCACTGGTTCTTAGTAGAATCTGCACTAACCTAATGTTAGGAGTCTGTTGTACGGTTCCGTGAGGCCAGAGTTTACGATGACTGTTTCGGAAATGCCCATCCCTGCGGGGAGAGGAAAGCTTCCCAGAGTTAGACTCACAGTTGCTGCAGCTGTTCCTTTGAGCTCACTTCACCTGCAGTCTCTGCCCTCACAAATGACGCCACCCACTGTCACCTGAAGCTTCCAGGTGGGCTGGTTGAACAAAGTGAGTGAAGTTCCATCTTCTTAGAATCCCTGGTCCATTGTTGGGACGGGGTTACTTCCGCCCAGTGCCAGCTAAGTAATCTGAACGATCACGTAGCGCCGTGTCACTGAGCAGGGAAAATACCTCCTTTCCGTGACTTCACAGTGAGAAGGTGCTGGGGTTGACTCAGTCGCAGACAGGGCACCCGGAAAACCGTAGGCAGGTCTGTGTACGTTCTGGAATCAGAAGGTGATAGCAGTGCTGTGAACTTACGGCCGAGGGCGCAGCCCCTCAGACACCGGGCTGGGGGGCTCTCCATCCGTCACACCTGCGTCGTGCACAGGGACACGCTGCCGATGGCACTCATCCGTCAGCCCCATCCCCCTCTAGCTGGGCAGTGGGACTGCTTGGAAACAGGCAGAATTTCAGCTTCTGACTCTTGAGAACGATGGGCCTTCCTCAGGGCAACCAGCGGGAAGGTGTTTCTGAGAGAAGGAGGACCCTGGACACATATGCAGAGGCCTGGAAGGAAAAACGGCGGGGCTCCCCTCCCCCCGCCCCCACTGGGTTACACGAGGGGTCCAAGGAGAGGGGCAAAGCCGTGCGCAGGGGGCCACAGCCGCGGAGGAGCAGGGGCGGCCCTTCCCCGGCTGCGCTCTCACCTCGCGAGGGCCACACAAGACGCCCTTGGAGTCCTGAGCAGGGCGATGCCAGGAGGGACGGCCGTCAGCCAGCAGACTGTCATCCACGTGCCCAGAGCCCACGGCCTTCAGTGTGGAGCCAGAAGGAAACGTGCGGTTCTGACTGGGTTTGGGTCTCGGTGCTGGCCCTGGGGCCTCGAGGCCTTGTGTGGTGGGCTTGGAGCCGGGTGGGGGCCTGGATCCCCCACTCCAGATACGAGTGCAATGCTGGTCCCCCCTGGAGTCAGGCCCCCAGCAGAGCACGGAGGGCGGGGGAGCTGGGGGCCATCTTTAGCGGCCTGGCCCAGTGTGGCCAGGGTCAGCCCTCCCTCCAGAGTCCGCTCCCAAAGCCAGGAGACAGGCCCCTGCCAGCGCCTCTCCAGCCGTCTCCCTTCCCCCCACCACCCTGCGCTCCCCGTCGGGGCCTGGTGTACTGTGAACAGCCACCTTCCCTCGCCCCTTTGGCTCAGGCCTGGACCCTTTCCCTCCTGCTGGGCCTCAGGGGTCAGGAGAGCCAGGGTGGGAGGCTGCAGGTTGAGACGGGCACCGGGAGGCTGCAGGTTGAGACGGGCACCGCCTGCGGGGGAGCACTTGGCCGGCACCAGGCCGTCCTCTAGAGGGCGTGTCACCTCGAACGGCTCCTGCACCACCCCTGGGCCTCATCATTGGGTGTCCGGCCCAGGTACCCCTAGTGTCCTTCCGGCTCTGAGCCCCAAGGTCCTTTACTGCTGCTTTTTCACGCTGGGACAGTGGCCCTGCAGAGTGCGTAAGAAGCAGACCTGTGTCCTTGGGACGCACCATCGGGTGCAGGCCTCGTGTTGCCCCACGCCAGGTGGCGTTGGGCCTGGTACGCCCTTGAATTTGAAGCCTGTAGAATAGTACACGCTACAGACTTTCTTTTCTTACTTCACTTGGGTCCAGACAGGCAGAAGCTGTCTCGAAACCTGGGTCCACCACCTGCCAGAGGCCAGGCCTGAGCAAATCCCAGATCCCCTGGGGCTGTTCCCTGACCTCTGACCTGGGGCTGGGCTCTTCCTGCAGGCTGTGCTGAGGGCTGGAGGGAAAGCATCGATGGCCCCGGCCTCTGGTGGCCCTTACGCTGTCCTTTCTGAGATCTTGTTCGTCTCCTGCTGTTAACTCTAGTGTTTCCCTTAATATTTTTACGTTGACCTGTTTTATTAGAGTTGTTCTTCTATTAAAAATCAAACAAAGTCAACTATACCTCAGTTAAAGCTGTTTTTTATAAATAAAATAAAGGAAGGAAACAAAGCAAAGCTTGACTGTGCAGGCTTGGCCTGTATGAGTTCAGCCATCACTTGACCACAGGACCAGAAGCCATTGCTTAAACACCAAGTCCTCTCCAGGACACTGCCCTCAACCTGGTCAGTTTCCTCTGGTTGCCGGCCAAGGGCCAAGGAGAAACGGTCGTGAATGTTGGCTTCGTCCCTACTTCCTGTGGTGGCGGAAACTTCAGCAACGTGTTGGCAGTGAAGAAGGAGAAGCGGTTTCCGCGGCTCCGCAGTGAACAGAGAAGTCTCTTCGCATTCTGTTGGCAGACGGGCAGAGTATACGGCAGTTTCTCCCCGTGCAAATTAGAAAAACAGAGTGGCTTTCCCTAGGGCGGAAGCGTAGACACTCGCCGTCAGCCCTGGTTCCCTGCTGGGGAGGAATCTTCCTCTTGAGACCCCACGTGACTTGACAGCTGGCCCCCTGGGGGGCGGCCGGAGCCCTGCTGGTCGTGCGGAGGCCCAGGTGCTGCTCGTGTTCACGTGTCCTGCATGTGTGGACTGGGCCCTGTGGAGGTTGAGGTCAGGCTGAGTGGTGTTGGTGAAGAGAGCAGTGGACGGACGCAAGCCTGAGAGTAAAAGCAGATCAGTGCAGAAGGACGGGGACACCCGGGCGCTGAGGGCCTTTGGGAGGCCGGGGGCGGCAGTGTCCCACTGGGACTGGACCAGAGTGCTGTCAGGCAACTGGTGACTGGAGAACGAGGGGCTCCTCGTTGGTCTGGCGGGCTTTAAGGTGCTGGGAGGAATGATTCAAGGAAGTGGTTTGGTCTGGGGGAAGGAGGGTGAAAGGTTGTCACCTGCAGGAGCACAAGGCCAGGTGTTGCCACCACCTTGGGCTGATGAGAGGGGTCGAGGACGCATGCCAGCAAGGCCTGTGCACGTCTGCTGAGTCTTCCCACCTGGTCTCGGGCTTCGGGCACGTTGGCAGAGCAGAGGCCCCCGGGGAAACGTGCTGTCTCTCCCCTTCTTCCCCCTCTGCCAGTGACCTGAGCTCCGGGCCCCGCAGGTCTCACTACCAACCCTCAAGTGCAGGTCACAGGAACCAGGTCGATACGTGGACTTAAGGAACCATCAACTCAGGGAATGAGGCCAGAGGTGCAGCTGCGACTCCTCTTTCAGGTGTCGGTGGTTCCCGAGCTGGTGCCGGTGCCTCCGGGGTGTTTTCCCTGTAGACCCAGCACATACGTCTGATAAGGGGTCTTTGAAGGAAACCCCTGCTCTGTCGGGGCCACAGTAGCCACACCAAAGTCAAGGGGTGCTAGTGCCAGAGGGCTGGGGCTGAAAAACTTCCTCTGGCAGGCCGCAGGTCAGAGGCAAATTGAGGTGGTGAGCGCTGAGTTGGTGTCAGACTTCAGAATTGAGGAGTGGGGTGGTGGAAGTTCTGACAGGACACACATAAACAGCCAGAGTGTGTGCACTTGCATGTTGCCTGACATGGAGAGTGCTCAGAAAATGTTACTGCAGTGCACGTATGTTTCCTAGTTGCAGATGTTTTCATATAGTATATGTTTCGTACACACACACACACACACACACACGCACACGCACACATACACACATTCGTATACATAAAGTCTTTTATTGGGACAGGAATATGTTTTTTCAGGTTAGGTAATCCACTTTTTCAGTTTTATGCTATGATTGAATTATGTCATCTTCACTTGGCCAGCACATTTTTTGCTGGGTTTTGTCTACTTTTGAACTCCTGTTTCAGTATTTTTTGGAGATACTAAGGTAGTCCAAGCAGAAAGTTGTCACTATTTCCAGGGCAGAGTTACAGGCAAAATTCTTCCTATTGGTGAAGAACTAAGAATGCCTCAAAATGAGAGTAATCAGTTACTGCCCAGAAGTTGGGAGATTTCCCACGGCCGCCCCCTGGCCTGATGAGAGGCCAGCCGTTCCATTTGGGCCCAGCCTTCCGAGAGAGGTGAGAATCACAAGCCTGTGAGACCTTTCTGGGTTGAGATCCAGTGAACTAGGGGTGGGGACCCTGGACCAGCAGAGGTGTGAACCTCCCCTCACTAAGGGGGTGAACATCAAAGCTTTCGGAACTTTTAAAATGCTAGCCAGCAGCTAAAGTGAGAATGGTTTAACCTCTTCCATGCTGTTGGTGAGAAATGATGTGTTAAATTCCACAGTCAGTAGCCACAAATTTGCCTGTGATTTCTTCAGATTTTCACTTCTCTGTGGTAATTCTGTAGGAGGCCTGGGCTGTTGTAAAGCTGCCTCCGATCATCTGTGATAACAAGGGTGAGGCCTGGAAACCTCATTTCTGGCCACTGCTGTGACCTCCTGCTACCCTCCTGGGGGTGTGGGTGACAAGACTGCCCATCATCCGTGAGCACGGTGGAAAGTGGGCAGCAGCCCCATGGGCAGGGGCAAGGAGGCCCTGGGCTCTGCTGCGGAGGGAACCACACTCGCGCTTTTCCGCACTCAGCAGAATGTCCCATGAGCCGTCTCCACGTGAAAGGCCATTTCCAGACTTCACTGACAGCAGCGACTGTGCAGGCGCAGTGCAGACGGTTGGGACTAGACTTGAGGGGAGCAGGTTTGACACTGCTCCCTTCCACTCACAGGGCTGCCTCTTAATTAATTGCTTCTTACTTTAATGGAATAATTATGGTGGCCAAAACTGAAAAGAGAATAAAGTTCTGGCCCCAAATATAACTCAGGTGTTGTTTTTATACATACTTATTAGAAATGTGCCATTTTTTCTGTTTGAATTTTAGAGAAATTTGATTCTTAATTTTTGTTTTCATATTTATTTGGTGCAGGAAGTAGACAGTATGACCCTGAGCAATGGAGAAGATATTAATCATCTTCTGGGTAAGTCCACCACTTATATCTTCAGAACAAATCGGTTTTATCAAAGGTTGAAGTAAAATATCTGTCTTTATAACATACATCTTTCATATCAAGTGCCAAACTTTAAAAGAATTCAGATGTTAAAACCTCCCAACAAGGAGCTAAGTTAACTTGGTTTCAAGATGAGTTTGCTTCCTTCAGAAAAAGTGTGCACAGAAAAAGATGCAGAGTCTGGCCATGAAACCTGGCACCCTCCTTCAGAGTGAAGTAATCAGACAGTGCCTGTCTTCTCTGAGGAGGGGCTGACCTGTGGCTTCTAGACCCAGCATCACGTAAAGAGGAAAAACATCCTTGTCAGTCTTCTCCCTCGTATCATATAAAAAACACCTTTGCTGGCTTATTTTTAGACATTGTACCTGATCCCATGGCCCCAAACAGATTGCATGGCCCCAAATGGTCATTGTTAACATCTTCATTCCAGTGTCTTCATCTGTGATGTGGGTATGGTTGGTTTCTTTTAATGAGTGGGAATCTCATTATATCCCACTTTTTCTAACTTTAACACTAGATAGTGAGGATGTTTCCCAAATGATCTTGTCTTTGAAGACATGATGTCTACTAGCTATGTCATTTTCCAGGAATTGTTTTCTAATTATAAATTCTAACCAAAAGTAAAGTTTCCAACCATATCTTCTGTTGGTCCTCAGAAGTGTTTGTATAGCGAAAGAGGTACGAGTACCAGCTTCCTTCTCACCTTCCTGGTGGGAGAGGTAACTGCGTAGTCTTGACACAGCGTGAGACTCGTGGGTCTGCTTCTGTTGTGTCATCCTTTTCATTTTGCACTTGTTAGGCTCAAGCCCAGAGCCTGTGCATGTGAAGACACACCCGGGTTCTCAGCAGACATCAGGCATCAGGCAGGAAGCCTAATTTATGATGCCGCTAATGAGTGGTACATTTGTTGCTCTTTATCTGTGAGCCCTGCAGGGCTCATGTTGTTAAAAAATATCCTAAATGAATCCAAGTTCAGAGAAATTCTTTCCATGGAGGAATTTTCAGATAATCCAAAAATTGAAATATTAAGCCCCAGATAGTTCTGAACTCAACCCCTGAGATTTTGATAATAGAAGAAAATCTAGATTAGGGGTTAGAAGACAGGCCCTTCATTAGCAGCTGTCTCCCTTTGGCCAGGAGCTGCTGTGACTACCAAGTCCCCTTCTGGGCCACAACCACGACTCGGGAGAGCCCCAGCACTCTCAGGCATGCTCACCGGCGCTCATAAGACATGTCCTTCAGTTGACGTTACTAAAAACAAAATAAACCCTAAACGCATCACAGTTCAGTTTGTATCTTTGCACCTGATGCTTCACTCTGACTGACAGCTCTGTGTGCATAGCTCCTGACTTGGTCTTCTGTTAGAATCCCATCTGGTACTTACCAAAAAGGGATATAGTCTCCCACTGTTCTAATCCATGTGTATCTCTTACGTGTGAAGCATCCTCACCACTTCCTGCTGGTCCTTCTGGAGGACATCTGCATGTCTAGTCACTTTTCATTCAGTCTTGTAGGACCTACAACCTTATTTCCCAGCTTTGGAAATAGATCTTTTTTTTCATGTTTCCTGATGGGAGGGACTGGTCGTGGGTAGAGCTGGGTGTTGCTCTGGTGGGCAGAGCTCAGTAAAACTTTAATCCGCTTGTCTGCTGATGGGTGGGGCCGGGTTCCCCCCCTGTTGGTTGTTTGGCCTGAGGCGACCCAACACTGGAGCCTACCTGGCTCTTTGGTGGGGCTAATGGCGACTCTGGGAGGGCTCACACCAAGGAGGACTTCCCAGAACTTCTGCTGCCAGTGTCCTTGTTCCCGTGGTGAGCCACTGCCACCCCCCGCCTCTGCAGGAGACCCTCCAACACTAGCAGGTAGGTCTGGTTCAGGCTCCTGTGGGGTCACTGCTCCTTCCCCGGGTCCCGGTGCGCACACTACTCTGTGTGTGCCCTCCAAGAGTGGGGTCTCTGTTTCCCCCAGTCCTGTCGAAGTCCTGCAGTCAAATCCCGCTAGCCTTCAACGTCTGATTCTCTGGGAATTCCTCCTCCCGTTGCCGGACCCCCAGGTTGGGGAGCCTGACGTGGGGCTCAGAACCTTCACTCCAGTGGGTGGACTTTTGTGGTATAAGTGTTCTCCAGTTTGTGAGCCACCCACCCAGCAGTTACGGGATTTGCTTTTATTGTGATTGCGCCCCTCCTACCGTCTCATTGTGGCTTCTCCTTTGTATTTGGATGTGGGGTATCTTTTTTGGTGAATTCCAGTGTCTTCCTGTCGATGATTGTTCAGCAGTTAGTTGTGATTCGGTGCTCTCACAAGAGGGAGTGAGGGCACGTCCTTCTATTCCGCCATCTTGAACCAGTCTCCCCAATTTATCTGGACTCTCTGGGGAGGCAGACAGGCGCAAGAGGCCTCTGGTGGTACAAGGTTCCAGTGCCTCGTAGAGTTCAAGGGAAGGAGAGAAGTCTGCTCTGAGTCCCTTCTGTGGTCACTAAAAAAATAACTTCAGTTTTAAGTGCCTACTGTCCAGCCACACAGCTTCCTGCCTCTAGATCTGGGTGACCCTTTGGTCAGGTCAGGACCCCAGTCCACTTGTCCAGCCCCCTTCATTGGTCCTCACATTCCTTCTCTGCTGTATCCCCTCCTTGTTTACCTTCCATGAACAGTAATGAAAGTGACTTCTTGTATCTATTCTTGACTGCTTTGCCGCTCTCATTTTACTATGTTTATGTGGTAAAACTGCAAACTTCGGTTAAATCCAATTCTTTGCATTTGTATTGCGGCTAGAGAAAAGCCCACAGTCACCCTTACCAGCCCCACCTTAACACTCACGCTCGCCCACCTCAGGGAAGTCAGCCTCCACTCTGCCCCACCGCCCGCACGCCGCGCCTCTCCTCCCTGCCTAGTCTTGCAGCGCTCTCCCCAGCCTCAGTCACAGCTGACAGCGCTGCACATTCCTGCAGCCACGTTTGCCCTCTTGCAAGCATCAACGCATTATCAAGTCTGAATTGTATACGCAAATGCCAGGAGAAATAGACAAATCCAGAATAACAGAGGGAATATCTACTTTTTCGTCTCCTCCTGTGGATGAACTGCCCATGAGTCTCTTCAGCTGTGCTGTCAAGTCCCCATCACCTGGTCAGTGGCATTGCTCCACCACAGCCTCCCCCCACCGCCCGGCTCCTGAAGCATCAGCTACATGCCCTGGTTATTCCTCCCATTTTGCAAAAACCCTTTGTAATCTACTTTCTCTCCAGCAATCACGTCATTTCTTTGCTTTCCTTTGGAGAAAAATAATTTTGAGCCCAGACTCCTATAGTCAGCCAAATTAACATTGTAACATCAGAGCAAAAAATTAATACACTTTCAGGAATTGTAAAATTTTGACCAACAGATCTTCTCCAAAAGAAAGTGGGTATGCTCTAGCAAAATGAGCATTTCAACTAACAGGAATGCATGGGATATAGGAAAGTGTTGAGCAAAGAAATCAGTAAAATGTATAGTTATTGCTATATAATTATTAACTGTAAAAAATGAATAAGCAAAAACAATTGGAGACTGAAATATCAGAGTATTATAAGGAAAGTTAGGAGTGTTTCTGGGGCATAAGATGAAAAGCAGCGACTTCCCTGGTGGCGCAGTGGTTAAGAATCAGCCTGCCGATGCAGGGGACACGGGTTCGAGCCCTGGTCTGGGAAGATTCCCGCATGCCGCGGAACAGCTGAGCCTGTGCGCCACAACTACTGAGCCTGCGCTCTAGAGCCCGGGAGCCACAACTACTGAGCCCGCGTGCCACAACTACTGAAGCCCATGAACCTAGAGCCCGTGCTCCGCAACAAGAGAAGCCACTGCAATGAGAAGCCCACGCACCGCAACAAAGAATAGCCCCCGCTCCGCAATGAAAAGTAGCCTCTGCTCGCCACAGCTAGAGAAAGCCCACGCCCAGCAACGAAGACCCAACACAGCCAAAAATAAATAAATAAACAAATAAATAATTTTTTTTTTTTAAAAAGGTGAAAAGTAAAGGCAGACTAAATTTTTTATCTTGCTTAGAGAGAGAATAGGTTTTGAATAAATCTAGCAGTTTTTAGAAAAATGTAAGTTTACGTATGTTTGTAAAATGTAGGAGTACACTCTAGAGGAAAGAAAGAAAGGGGGGAAGAAAGAAGATGATAGAGGAAAATCTTTCATACCCTTTATGCACCTGACATAAATCAAAATTATAAGCAACATACAAGGAGAAACAGACCCAATAAGAGTGTGTGTGTGTGTGTGTGTGTGTGTGTGTGTGTGTGTGTGTGTGTGTACCTGGGCCTCTCACTGTTGTGGCCTCTCCCATTGCGGAGCACAGGCTCCAGACGCGCAGGCTCAGGGGCCATGGCTCACGGGCCCAGCCGCTCCGCGGCATGTGGGATCTTCCCGGACTGGGACACAAACCTGTGTCCCCGCATCGGCAGGCGGACTCTCAACCACTGTGCCACCAGGGAAGCCCAAGAGTATATTTAATACATCTCTCTCTCAGAGATACAGATCAGGTAGACAAAAGTATGATATACGTTTGAATAACTTTATTAACAAGTTTACTGTAATAGAAATATACAGAACAATATATGCCCTCTTTATATTATTTTCAAAAATAAACGGACAGTTAAAAAATCTAACTGGGTGTTACAGGTCCCAAAGTAAATCTCAACCAATTTAATGAAAAGCAGAAATCACATAAGACATATTTTCTGTCCACAAGAAAATAACTTAAGAAATCAACAACAGAAGGATAAAAAGCAGAAATCTTCCCACTTGGAAATTAATCCACCATTCTGAATTTTTACTGAGGAAATCAAAATCAAAATTACTTTTAGAAATAATAATAAAAGTACTACATTCAAAAATTCATGGCAGGAGAGTGATGTCAGCAGGGACGATGGTGCAGTAGGAGGCTCCAGGACCCATCTGCCTGGACAGCAGTTTTACTGG